TTGGTCGCACCCCGAATTGGTCGCACCCCGAAGCAAATTTCCCGATAAGGTTCAATGTAATTACCATTAATCCATTCTGGCGTGGAGGACAGGGAGGTGGCTATTGCTTGGAGGGAGAGTCCCCCTCCCTACAACCACGTGTCGGGTGGAAAATGGCCACGGACCACGTGTCAGGGGCGGAAAAGTGGCCACGGACCACGTGTCGGGCGTAAAAATGGCTGCAGACCACGTGTCAGGGGCGGAAAAGTGGCCACGGACCACGTGTCGGGCGTAAAAATGGCTGCAGACCACGTGTCAGGGGCGGAAAAATGGCTGCGGACCATGTGTCGGGGTGGAAAAATGGCAGCGGACCACGTGTCGGGCGGAAAATGGCCGCAGACCACGTGTCGGGGTGGAAAAATGGCCGCGGACCATGTGTCAGGGGCGGAAAATGGCCGCGGACCACGTGTCAGGCGGAAAAATGGCCGCAGACCACGTGTCAGGGGCAGAAAATGGCCGCAGACCATGTCACGGGAGGGGAAATGGCCACGTATCCTATTCGTACCCCGAGGCGGAGTTCGCAAACCAAGGAAAAATTTTGTGGCCGGAGCTGGTCGTAACCTGAAAAGTTTGTTAACAGAAGCGTTCGTAACCCGAGGTTCAGACCATGTCACGGGAGGGGAAATGGCCGCGTATCCTATTCGTACCCCGAGGCGGAGTTCGCAAACCAAGGAAAAATTTTGTGGCCGGAGCTGGTCGTAACCTGAAAAGTTTGTTAACAGAAGCGTTCGTAACCCGAGGTTCCACTGTATGTAACTGATATTGTGTTGGGCCCTTCAGTTTGGATCATATATCTTTTAGCAGTAGCATCTGCAACAAACTGTGATGACATCAAAATGACAACACATGCTGTGACAGCATCATCTAACTGCCATGATCACATACTTGTATCCTGACATCTAACACAAATATGTAAGTCACAGCATTTGCATGATGATGTCACACACATTTCCTTATTTCTCCTCATTCCCCTGCAAATGTTGGTGCTCCTTAGCCTAGTTGCCTGCTAACTAGGTCTTCCTAATATTTTGAAACCATCTGCTGTGACTCTGGTTGCTATAATTTAAAGAAATTCACATGCATATTGAGAAAAGCATGCAATCGTAAATCATTAATTCCGTATGACTTGTAATATGGATTGTGGCCCTGTTGATTCATAGTTTTAAAAGAGCCAGTTCCTCCATATTTTATGGATAATTCATTTCTCTGTACTTTTTCTCCTGAAATTACTAATTTAATACATACAGTATGTTAATGCATAGCATAATTTACTAGTTTAGAAAATATGTAATATACAAGGAGCTATCCAACTTAACAATGGCTAAGGTGCTGGCCTAGAAACCAGGAGACGGTAAGTTCTAGGCCTCCCTTAGGCATGAAAGCCAGCTGAGTGATTTTGTCCTGTCACTTTCTCTCAGCCCAACCCATCTCACAAGATTGTTGTTATGGGGAAAATAGGAGGCAGGAGTATTAGGTATGCTCACCGCCTTGAGTTATATATAAAAAAGGTGGGATAAAAATATAATAACAACAGCAACAACCATGAAAGTAACAGCTAAGTGCACTTTTTCCAGCCTTCTTGCACAGACAGATGCAGAACTGAACCCAGTGAAAAAGCAACAGTATTGTGTCCACTTGAACACAGCCTATGAACAGGCTGACAGCAACACATATATACTTCTCAGGCTGTTGGTTTGAGGCTTTTTTCCAATGTACATGTTCAATGTTAACGTTTCCATTTGGCAACCTACCAGAAAGTGCACAACATAAAAATATAGAGGGACATTACATTACAAACAACAACTTCCCCATAGCAAATCATTAAAAACAAAACTAAAGTTACCTATCATGTAAGCAGCAATCCATGATTAACTGACTCACACTAAATACCAGCACCCCCGCCCCTGCTTTTCTCTTAACTCACTCAAGCCAATGTCAGCATCAGTGAATCTGCTCTTGTTGTTTATTGGTTAACGCAGACTCTAAGCTCCGTAGCTTGGGGAAATTTACAAAAAGCACAAGCCAATTATGGGACATCAGAACATTTAAAATATTTTGTTCTGTGCTTGTGACAAAATTTTGGGATATGGGAAATTTTGCTCTGGGCTCTGAACGGTGAAAGAGTTGTTTCAAGTTCAGAACTTTCTGCCCATTCCTAGAACTTACGTATTGACTGAGTTTGTGTAAACTCTTAGTTGAACCTACAAAACTCTATATCCTGGGCCAAAACAAATGAATGTTACACTTAGGAAAAATGAAAGGTGAATGCTAACTTTATTCTGTTCCTACTAGAATCTCATGTCAAGCTCCCAATATTTAGCAGCTTAGGAAACACATTTAGGTGAATGCAGTGGTGCTATCCTCAATGGAACAGTAACCCTTTGAAAAATAGGTTCTCTCCCATGCAGCCCACTACCGTATCTGGAGCCGTGGGAGAATTTCCACAGCAGTTTTGGCAAGGAGATGCCAATAAAATGCCACCTAAGTTCCAATTCTAATTGATCTGTAAAAGTTTTTTTTTTTTTTTAATTTAAATAACTACCCTAGAAAAACTTGTTCTGTTTTTGGAAAGTTATTTCACTTTAAAAAAAATCTCAAAGTTTATACTGTTATATCTTTTTGTATCTTAGTATTTTGTGCAAATTTTCTTTATTTTCTCATGAAATATCACCAATTCAGCCCTTATCAAAACTTTTCAAAAGCTTTTAAGGAAGTGAATGCTTCACATTTACAGACATGTTCAAAATACTTTTAGCTAACATCCTAGTTTAAAAGTTTTTTTATGCATATATTTTGAGTTTTTTTAATTTCTAAGTAAAGTAATATGGGGGTTAGGTGGGAATGGTGGAAGCTTTAAGGTAAAGTCTTCAAGTCAAGTTTGACTCCTGGTGACTTTATGAATTGATTTGCAATTCCCTGTGCCACCTACAGCCCTGGTATGTCCAGGTGATCTTCCATCCAAATACTAACCATGTTTGACCCTGTATAGTTTCTGAAATCAGCTAAGTTCCATTATATACTTTCTAAATGCTGAATCAAAAGTTATGTTGGCTTTTCTAAAGAAATATTTACTCTCCAATTAGAATTTTATTTAGACTAGGAAAAAATAGGTCATTGGAAGAATACTTAACACCAGTTATTCAATTTAAAAAGATAGTTGTGAGAATGTTTGGCTAGAAAAAGTTGTAAGATATATTTCATCTGAGAACAAATACATTTACAGTATAATTAATCTGCTAAACTGTTCCATTAGATTTAAATTGATATCAAACATTTGTTCATGTTCTAATGGACTTTGATTATAATTAGAAAAAATCTTAGCAATTAACTTTGCCTATATGAAAACACTTTACTGTTTCTGTAATTTTTTTTTACTGTGCCTAAATTAAGGGATTTTTATTCTGAGTATATTTAATGGCTTCTATCTTGAGTCATCCTTACATGAACAGAAGGAGCTACAGCAGAGATTCTTGCTGACCAAAGTGGACCAACAATTTTTGCCAATTCCTTCTGCATCACCCAGACTACTGCCTACATAGTTTAAGGCAATCTTCTTAAGGGAGAAGATTTTCAGTGAAAATGGAGAATCACTGAAAATGGCCACCTCCTCCTTCCTTATTATATCAAGGGCGTATGATGAACAGAATTCCAAACTAATATTTGGTAAACTTTTCCATTAGCCTCTACATATACTCCTTATTCCCCAACTCAGTTTTTGACATTTTTAAAGTACAACTCCATTTAGATTTTCACTACACGTTCGTCTGAACTTGTTTTTCTAATGATGATTTTCACGAGCCAATTCTAACATGATTGTGTCAATCTTAAGATTTTAGCGTTTCATCTTAGTGCATTGTGCTGTGTTGCTTTTTAAAATATATAATCAAGAGAGGTCTAAAGGAAAAAACTGTATTATATAAGTTTAATATTTAAAACAATTAACAATGAAAATATTGCAGAAAGAAGGGTCCTAAATAAAATGTCTTAGTTCATTTTAGGAATTCCTAGATTTCATATGAACTGTAATATTTTAAAAACTTAAAGATAAATAAATTCCTTGTTTTTTATATGTGTAATGAATTCAGTTGTGGTTTAGCTTGCAACTTAAATATTATCTAGAATTTAGGAATATTAATTTTACATACACTGGTCTTTTCAGAGAACGTAGATGTAGATGTAGAAGCACGCCTTTTGGAACTCTGTGAAGAAATAAAGGTATTGTCCCCTAATCAATATATGTCCAGCTTCAAATACACACTGATAATAACTAGGAAGAAGAGGGGAGATCAAAACAGATATCAACTCAGCAATATTGGAAAAAAGGCAATCCTGTACTAGGTTGGGAAAGACTAAAAATGAAAGTACAACATGATAACACATTTTATAAACCTATTCATTCATCACTGATGTGGTATTCAGAGAAGCATAAAATTTACAGAAGAGAGCACTCAAAATAATGAAAGGAATGGAACTCTTCCTTTTTGAAAAAAGACAGTAAAGTGTTCAGAACTGTTTAGTTTAAAAAAAAGATGATATCCAATTAACAACTTCTACTGATTGTAGTGTGGCACATAGAAGAGAGGATGGAGAATTCCTGTTAAATTGTGTATGTGCTGGGGAGGTAGTTTATATGGCTGTATATAGATGATATGGTGGTAATCATAAGCTCTAAGAGGGGAGTCAGAAAATTATCAGAGATTATTACGCTTTACAGCTAAGTGGAAATGTAAGTTCAAAGGCAATGTCCATTGGAATCCATGGGCAAACAATGTAGTTCAAAGGCAATGTCCATTGGAATCCATGGGGAAACAATTATTGAGTCCTTGTCCACTCTCTTGGATTTTCAGAAGCCTCATCTGATTAGTCACTGCTGAAAATGGATTCCTGGATGCAGTCTCATTCACAGATGGTTCTTAATATAGAAATTGGTAGAGATTTTGAAAGAACAAATAGTAATTCAAATTAAGATAGAAGTTAATTATATATGTGTGTGTATATATATAAATTTTTTAAGTTTCAGTGTAGCCACTTGAAAAAATATTTCTTACAGGTTTTTAAATAATAGCCATTCTACTTCTAAGATTATAGGCTTGTTTGTTTTTATTGGTGCAGAAAATGGAAAATCCTGATGAACTGGCAGAACTTATAAACATGAATCTTGCACAACTGTGTTCGCTCTTGATGGCTTTATGGGGACAATTTCTGGAAACTGTTAACTTCCAAGAAGATGTCATTGCACTATTATCACAAGAACATCATATAATGCGTGTATGTATTTCTCTTATATTACAATCTGTAAAAGTAAAATTATATCCTTTAGTTCTGGTAAAGCTGAATTTTAGAATATATATCAGTTTAGTTCTTAAAACTGTTACCTCCTTAAGTTCATAGATTACTTTCTAAAAGGTTAAAGTTATTAACAGTGGATTAAAGCTAAGTTGCGTAAAGCTAAACTATAATTGTAGAAATAGCTAAAATATGGATAATCTAATTCTTAGCCATCCTAAATTGTCTTATAATAACATTTAAAAACTTAAACAATAGAAAATACCATATATAAAGACTGGCAGCAGTATTTACGATCAACCTAAATTCTTCATCTACAGTCTGGATGAATATTGGAACTAAATATAGATGAAGCTAATTTAGATGTTATAATATTCCTTTAGTTATCTTAGGGACCTTTTTAATTTGTAAATGTTGATTCCATATTCATGAATTCTAGTGGCATCTGAGTCAGCTAATTTGACCAAGCAGTGCATTGCACTATAAAATTCCTACACAATGTATGTATAATTAATCTTAATTGCTAAAAAGGAGACAGAATAAGAAGCAGTTGAGATAACCTAAAAGTGTACTTACAGGATAACAGAACAGCTAAATTAATGTGCATTCAGCTACAGGGACTGGGAATAGAAGCAAAATTAGTGGATGGATGGATGGATGGATGGATGGATGGATGGATGGATGGATGGATGGATGGATATGCATGTATATATATATAAACACAGATATACACGCAGTTTTGTGTGTAGTTTATAAGTTCCTGTTTCATAAAATAATTTGACTATGTGATGTGTGTGCTTAGCTGTTGTAGTATCATGCCTGGTCAGTAAGCTGATCTTCAAGAAATAAATCAGTTTCCTATAGGTTAATATGGCTGATCTGGAAAGCTTGGAGGTTTGAATAATCTCTTACAAGGATTCATATAGGAGCAATCTTCCAATGATACTTGACTTTACTCATATGTAGAGCCAAGTATACAGTTAATACACATAACTGTATTACTGAAGTACCATCAGACAAAGCTAAGAAAGGTCCTGTAACATTGCTGCCAATAAGCATACATTTGTAGTAAGTTGTAAAAGTATCCAAGTTCTTTGGAAGGAACCCACAGATGTCAGTTTTGGTTTTGTTGAGAGCAAGAGTCTCTGGGCGGGAGGTAGGAAATAATCCCTCAGAAAAGACCTCTTTACTATCTTTCGGGGGTATGGAGAAATCACTCTAGCCTTACATTCCTAAAACATGCGGGTTTGTGAAGAGCGTATTAATAGATGAGGACTGTTTTTAAACAGACTCATAGAAAGTCCTTTGGAGGAGTTAGCGTTTATCATATATGGATGTTTATGATGTTGAGAAATGTAGTCAGGAGTTCTAGGAGGTTGAATTTAGATGACTAGTAGAAAGAATAATGAATAATGTTTTGTTAACTCTAAAACTAACACATTTACTATGGATAAACTTTTTCAGACTAGAGTCATTGAGTAGAATGTGCAACCTTTGAGTGTAAAACAATGATTTCTCTTTGAATGCTCCCTCATTACATGTATCTATAGTTGACAACAGAGAAAAAAGACAACAGACAAATAGCATATATTTTTTAAAAAATCCCTCTAAGATTATACATGAGCATTAATATATCACAATAAAATGTTATCAACTGGTCAAATTGAAAAAGTTTATTTTAGTTCAAAGGATTGCTACAAAGCTTGACCTGACTCATCTCAGTATTCTATATTTGAATTTTTTTTTAAAAAAAGTTTTTAAATTAAGCTTAATTAATTAAAAGGTTAAAATAATTAACCATTATTTTAAAATGATGATATAAGTATACTTCGTGTATGTTTTAGGAAAGATAAGGCCAATTCAAAGTATATTATCTCAAAACATTTTAGGTACGCAGATTTTCTGAAGGGTTTTTTTGTCTTGAACATCCTCGGGAAGCAGCCCTTGCATATCAAGAGCTTCAGTAAGTAACTTTAAAAAGAAAATATTAAGTCAGAATTCATTAAACTTCCTGTCTTTATGTTCTGTATTGATTTAAATTAATTAATCTCTGTAATATATCATATAATATAAAATAATACATTCTGTAATGCATAACTTCAGTCTTCCAATATTAATGGCTTTTATCAAGTGATGTCCTACCTCCCTCCTGATCCTGATGTGTGGAAATTCTTCAAGATTCAGGGATAGGGAGGAAACTGACAGAAAGAAAAGAAAGCCAAACCATTTTCACTCCTTTTCCTGTCTTAGAACCCTCCCTTGGGCCAAAGAGCCTTCCCTGAAAAAAAGGCACAACATTTACTACACTCAGTGTAATAATATTAGTTACCATTCTCAATCAGTGATGAAAGGAGAATGTTAGGACCAATTGTTTTAGTCTCTCCTTGGGTAATTAACAAAATAAAATAACACTGTTTACAGCATCTAAATGATGAGTTCAAAAAAGAGTACCCACTAAAAAAATACACAAGTGACGCTGTCCTTAACTGCTTCCATTTCTGTTGGTGATGCAGATAGATTTCCTTCATAAAATGTAACATAGTTCTGTTGAATATGATTTTCATAAATAATGCAACACACGTGCAAAATGCTGGCTTTTGATTAGTGTTCCTGATTTAGTAATAAATTAATACAACTACATTTCAACTGCACTATAAGTTACATGTTTCCTTTTTGCAACTGTTTTAACATAAATGGTATCTTTCAGTGCCCAGAGTTATCTTCAGATGTGTACTGCAATAAAAAGCACTTCCTTCTGTAGTTCTCTCCCTCCTCTCCCAATTGAATGCAGTGAATTAGATGGAGATCTGAATTCCTTACCTATAATCTTTGAAGATCGGTATCTAGATTCTGTCACTGAAGGTAACTCAAAAGTTGGCTTGGATTTAGCTTTGCTGGAATGAAATAAAATTAAGAATTTTTTATCTTGCAAGATTCTTATTGAAAGCAAAGACTGAATACATTTTATAAGTTAAAGCTCAATAAGGCCAGAATAAGCTAAACGCAGCTGAATTCTTTTTTCATGTAAAGTTGTATTATCTTAAGATTTGGGAGCAGTTTGAGTAATTGTATAGAGTATTGCAGTGAAAAGATAGGCTTCTAAAATCTTACTGGCATTTGAAAATGTTGTCACATGCCACATAACATATCCCTTGCTCTGTTTTATACCTGACTGCTAAAAGATTTGTAATTCTGAAGTACATTTATGTAGATACCATTGCATCTAGGTGAAACCAGAAAGGGCTCCTGTTTTTAGTTACATAGACATTACTATTTTAATATGACAATGAAGTCATAAGCAGTCTGGCTTTATCTCAAAGGTACATTCATGATCTTGAAAGGCATGCTTCTTTAATATATATTTGAAATCTGTACCATAATGTAGTAAAATGTATTGCTATTAGTTGCATTAGTCTGTTCTCATTTTATATTTGAAATCTGTACCGTAATGTAGTAAAATGTATTGCTATTAGTTGCATTAGTCTGTTCTCATTTTTTAACCATTTTCTCTTTTAATAAAAAGAGGTGGATGTTCCCTGGCTAACCATTCAGCCGAAGTCTGATTCCAGGAAACCAGATAAACAAGATACTGAAGAAAGTTTCACAACTACTTTTTCTAGTCCGGAGTTGAAAAGTAAACATTTGGCTACATCAGAAAGTGAAAAACAGTTTATAAAGTCTTCAAAAGGAAAATGTGAAGATATAAACAAATCCAAAGTTAAGGTTACCAAATTAATGAAAACAATGAAACCTGAAAATCCAAAAAAAGTAGTAAAACAAATCTCTAAAGATTCTGTTGTTCTGGTAGGCTACAAATGTTTGAAAAGCGCGGCACCAGAGGACATTGCCAAGTACTTTGAAGGAACATCTTCATGCAACCAGAAAGAAGGACTGGATGTTACTGTTGGTGAACATGTTTGTGATGAAAAAACCTTCACACAACAAATCAGTGAAAAAGAATTTAAAGTTGAACAAAAAATTACTAAACTAGAAGGGAATGAGGAAAGCCTGCAGAGTTCTGTCATCTTGCCTTGTGCAAATTCAGTCAGTTTGGGTAAATTTTGTATCTCTCAGATTGGAATTGATGATAGTCAAGGGGATATCAGTTTGACATCCAGAACTGTTGCTGAAAATTATATTAGTTCATCTGGAGTTACAAAAATAGAAGTAAAACCATACTGTAGGAAATCATATGGGGGAGATAAAGTGTTTGTTCGAATTGGATCACAGACAGAAGATTTACAAGGGAAAGCATTTGGAGAACTTACATTTGAAAGTTCAGAATCAGAAAAGAGATCTAAATCAGAAGAGGAACTAATGCCTGAAAAGCAAGTTGTGCAAGAAGCAGACTTCCAACATGCTGAGGATTCCTCAGGCAGGGTCACAACTAATCTATCAACAAAAGAAGCTCCCACTGCAGTTGTAAGTGGAGAGGCCCTTAAATTGCCTGATGTTAATAATACCTATGCATCATCTAGGTTCTCAGATTCTGGTGTAGAAAGTGAACCAAGTTCTTTTGCAATGCACCCAAGTGCAGATACAGCTTTTGAAACTCCTCAAGGCCAAAACACATGCAACAGTGAAAAAGCATTTTCTCAGTTTCTGCTAAAACCAGATTTCATTATTAAAACTTTGATGGAAAGTCACTGTACTGAGAGCACAAGTGCAGTTAGTGAAATACAATCCTCTCTGACATCTATAAACTCTCTCCCTTCTGATGATGATCTTTCCCCTGAGGAAAATTCAAAGATATCTGTTTTACATGAATGTCAATTAAAGGACAGCAAAACTGTATTAGACTTGGGAGCAATTGATTTGACAAAATGTGATGATATTGATGAGCCAGATATTTTGCCACACCGGTGTGTAACATATTCTGAACAATCAGACAATGAAACTACATTTTTGCCTTCCCTGCCCTCAAATATAAAAGATCCTCTACAGATAGTTTCTGATGAAGATACGTATACAGCTATGAACACTTACAACCCACAATTTAATTTAGGCACTACTTGTAAAGATTCCCAAAGATTAGAGAAAGACTTTCATACTATAGAAAAATCAAATGAAATTCCTTCAGGAGTTGTTTATCTAGGGAACTCCTGTGTTGTTTCAGGTTCTGTAAGTTCTTGTGCTGGTAGTATGAGAAAGACAAGTGAAGGGAATATTGATGAAATGCTAGAGCAAAAAGAAATGACTGATAAGTTATTAATTACAAAAAATGAAAATCTTACAAACTTGAATGCCCTCTCCCCAGAGGGTAGTACTGATATACTGAAGCAAGGACTTGTAGAAAATTACTTTGGTTATCAAAATAGTACAGATATTTCCAATATACATTCTACTGACAGCAGCAATCTTGTTAGCCCTCAAAGAGGAACCATATGTTCTGCTTCCCCACAGGAGGAGGAAGAGGAGGATCAAGATCAAAGCATGGTTGAAAATGGTTATTTTGAGGAAGCAGAAGAGGGTCATTTGTACACAACTGTAAATGATTGTGTGGAGAACTTTGGTCTAACAAATGAAAGAGGTTTAAGAATAGAAAGTTTATCTAGTGAACTTTTGGAAAATGAGACAAATACAACTCCATTATGCAAGCCAGACAGTTTGATTTTTCCTCCAGTCTTAAAAGGATATCCAAGTAGTGCCTTATGGTCTGCACAGGACAAATCCAGTTCTTTTTCCAAGCAGTCCAGCAGCACATCCTGCAGTGCAACTTTATCTGTTCCCTGGTATGAGTATTCTCCCAAACCACAAATGCTAGCGTAAGTGGACATTTTATTGTTTATTTTGATGTTCTATAGTTGATATTTTGATTTGTAAGCTTCCATGTGTTGATTTGTAAGCTTCCATGTGAATGGAGTTGGTGACATATACATACATATACATATACATATACTACTGGTGACATATACATATACTACTCAATCAATCAATCAATCAATCAGTCAATCAATACTTTAAAAAATGGGGCCAGTTACAGAAGAGTTTTTAAAAAAAAATAGATGCAATTTTTTTGTGTGTGTTACAATCACAAACACAGATTGCATATTGTTTCTGATCGTTGCTATTTTCTTCATTTTACTTGGTCAGGGATTAGGATTATTTCTTTATTAATATAAGAGTAAAAAAACATGATTGGTGTACCACACCTATGACAATTGGGAAAGCAGATTTTAGCTACAGTTTACCAGTTCAGTAGATAGAACAAGGATATGCTAAAATCACAATCTTAGGCATTTCCTAGAAGTATCTAGATATTTTATTGTATACATATACACACAACCACCTTTTAAAAAATTGTGTGTGTGTGTGTGTAGATAGATAGATAGATAGATAGATAGATAGATAGATAGATAGATAGATAGATAGATAGATAGATAGATTGATTTCTTGAGGATTGGTTACTAGGATTGCTTTTTTCCTCCAGTTGTGGGTAAAACTGGATGGCTGTTGATATGTATGCATAGCTTATGTTGAAATTATAGCATGCTTATATCATACCTTGGTTTATGCTGGAAACGAGATGGGGAAATTGGAATAGCCTGACAGGGAGCAGGCACAGGTGAAGGTTAAAAAATGCAGCTTCTCTTAAGTACAGAGCCTTTTATTTTATTTTATTTTATTTTATTTATTTTATTTTGTTATTTTATGTTATTTTATGTTATTTTTTATTTTATTTTAGTAATTAAATTTATATGCCACCCATCTCACTAAACAAATGATTGTAGGTGGCTTACAAGTAAAACGATAAAAAACAATAAAAATCTGAACAAAAATATACAAAATTAAAAGGTGAAGAGAGCATCTTCAAGCCACCAACCACTCCCAGTGCTGCGAACCCCCATATGGTCCCCATGCTAGTTCGCAGAGCCAGGTCTTAATGCTCTTTCAGAAGGCCAAAAGAGTGGGGGCCAATCTCTCCTCAGAGGGTAAGAAGTTCCATAGGGCGGGGGCACAACAGCAGAATAGGCTCTCCTCCTAGACCCCGCCAGTTGAAATTCTTTAGCCTAAGGGGTCCGTAACACGCCCTTCCTGCCGGACTGGGTGGGACAGGTTGATGTAACCAGGATAAGATGGTTCCTCAGGTCACTAGGGCTTTAAAGGTCATAATCAACACCTTAAATTGGACCCAAAAGCAAACCAGCACCCAATTCAGCTCCCGCAGCAGAGGTGTTACATGCCATTCCCTAGAGGCAACCATAACTGCCTGTGCCACAGCATTCTACACCAGCTGCAGCTTCCAGATACTTTTCAAGGGTAGCCCCATGTAGAGTGCATTGTAATAGTTTATATGGGAGATGACTAGGGCATGAGTGACTGGGAGAAGGGCTTCCCAGTCCAGGAAAGGGTGCAACTGGTGCACAACAGAGTTGAGCAAAGGCCCTCCTAACCACGACTGCCACCTGCTCCTTGAGCAGGAGTCACGAGTCCATGAGGACCCCCAGATTATACACCGGGTCTGTCTGGGGCAGCGCAACCTCATCCTGGACCAAAGACGGTAAGGCCCCAGATATGGAAGAGCCCCGAATCCTCTTACCAGGGTTCAGTTGAAGCCTGTTGTTCCCCATGCAGACTCCCACAGCCTCCAAGCACTGTGAAAGAACATCCACAGCATCACTTAATTCACCGGGGACGAATTGGGTATCATCCACATACTGATGATACCTCATCCCATGGTGACAGATGATCTTACCCAGTGGTTTCATGTAGATGTTAAAAAGGAGTGGAGAAAGCACTGAGCCCTGTGGCACTCCATAGAGCAGGGGCTGCAGGCTGGACCTCTCGCTCCCTATCAACTCCGATTGGGACTGGCATCAGAGGAAGGAGGTAAACCAGCACAAAACTCTGCCCTCCCACCCCCAAGTCCCGCAGTCAGCCCAAAAGGATACCA